GGTTCACATACTTTTTCCACCCTGCACTGTGGATGTTTACTTTCTGTGTTCAATAAAACCATGCAAACATGTAATTTTTTTGTGTGGTATAAGTTTAAGCAGACTGTGTTTGTCTATTGTTGTGGCTTTGATGAAAATCAGAACACATTTAATMATCAATTTATGCAGAAATCCAAGAAATCCCAAAGGGTTCACATACTTTTTCATGCAATTGTAAACTTTATCAGTYTAGCTTAAATATGTTAGGCGCTAAAACTCATAAATAATACACATGTTAAGAGGGAATGAAATTTCAGCATCACACCTTTGATTTAAAAACAGCTTCCAAAGATAAGTTATAAGTTATATTCCAAAGATAAGTTGTAAGTTATATTCCAAAGATAAGTTGACTGTGACAAAAGAAAAGTCATTTCCTTTTTTTGTTTATAAATACCAATTTTGAAATAACACCTTTTAGAGCTGTAATTATAATTCTGTGATGCCGGCAAGCCATGATATTTTAGCCTAAGGTTATCATATTGTCAGAATTTTAAACCAGCCCAAACTCTTTTCTCTTGTCGGGTCTTGTTAGGTTTATACGGTAAATATATTTATGTTTTGTTCAGTTGCTGTTATTACTTCTTGTCAATAGAGGTTGCTGCTGTGAAAGCAAGGGGCAGAAAGACTGTAAAAAGAGTGAGATACTGAAGATAGGAGGCAACACTGTATTTTGTAATGGTGTGTTCACAGTTACTGAAATAAAAGTCATCAGTTTTAACTGTCATTCCTTTTTTCATTACAACTGCCACAACAAATTTAAAGTCTATGATTTAAATAGAGCAAATATGCTTCATTCTCATTATGAAACTCTATGTTTAATCCATTCAGAGTGATGAGATACAGTATACCAGTAAGTATGCTAAAACGACTTTTGTTTTAAAAGTTATTGACCTGATTGAACATCTTAATTAAAAAAGAACATGCTTTTTGTTTGCTTTTGCAAACTGTGTTTCCACAAACTAAGCCTTAAGACAGTATGCATGTCATCTGATCACAGACCAAAGCTGCATGTAATCTAAAAAAGATGATGCTCAAAAGCTTTCCACTACCAAAACTTTGCTCATGCATTTGAGCCAGTGACAGAGAGTCATGTTTTAATATCTGGGAGAGCTTTCTAAAAAAGAGGATTGCATTTCTCTGTTCCGTCCTGACACAGAAAGACTATTGTAGCCTTCTCATGTGTCTTCCATTGCCTTCTCTCCTGAAAGGCATTGATCCCTCTCATGTCCAGCCATATATTAGTTAACTGATTATTTGGTTCAGGTCAGTCTCAGAAAAAATAATTTCATACACTGATATCACTTTTTCACTTGATCATAATGCTAATGAATTAGAAAATAAATTATTCTTTCTTTTTTGTTATGTGGCAAATACTTCAAACACAGTGTAGCACTTCCTGAATAACACACATCAGTACAGGGACAAGATGATGACCCAATCTGTTGAACGTACACTTGAACTGTATAATTAATCTACTTTTAAATGCACAAAGACAAATCCTGCCAGCATGCACAGCCGTGTTTTGCATGCCAGCTTACTTGCAGGAGGGCATGATTAGAAAACATTACATTATACTGAGAGAGAGAGAGAGAGAGAGAGAGAGAGAGAGAGAGAGAGAGAGAG